TGGTGCTCACCACTCACTAGCTTCCACCTCTCTCTCTCCCTCCAACCACTACCTGAGCTCAGTTCTACCTGCACGAGCACTCCCTTCAGCATTCGCTGTCTGATTATCCAACACTGCTGCGTGCACCTTTACCTTTCTTCTTCTTCTGCTCCCTTCGGCAGAGCGCACCCACTGATGAACAGCCAGCCCGCGAACACTTCGAATTTAAGCAGGCAATCGAACGGCGACTGAGCACAGTCTCTGCTGAGTCTCGCACTGACCGCCACCACCACCACCGCCATACGACTTGCAGCGTAACATCAATCATAGCAACACTTGTTGCGTTGTACCGCAACACCCAGCTGGGAACTTTACTTGTGTGCACACCCGCCAGCCTTGGCACTACTCCAAGTGCATCTCTCATCACTGAAATCATCCCCCTTTTGACCCGTGAACATGAGCTACGTTGTCTTGAAAAAAGAGATGATGATCACCTCATCGCCTCTGTACGATTACTCGGTGAACAGCAGCACCAGCATTAGTACTAGCAGTAGCAGTACCGGCAACGGCAACATCACCAACATCAGCAACGGCAACGGCAACAACAACCACCATGGCAGCCCAGCAGTTGGCCAGTTGACACCAAACAGTGAGATGAGCAGCTCCACTGAGTACCAGAGCCCCTCACCGTCACAGTTCGCCGTCGACCAGGCGATGACCGACCATGTTGCCAGCAAAATGACGCTCTCCACGCGTAGTCTCAGTCGAATGCAACACCGGGCGATGAATGACAGCATCATTCAGTGGTAAGTGACAATGTCCCTTTATGATTCATTACCAAAAACCTGCCGTGGTTGCCTGTCTGCAGAGCAATGACAATTGACTAGCAAAAACGGACAGTAAACCCTACTCTGAGTGTCATCGTCAATAACTGAAATTGCCACTGTTTTCTCTTTCTCTATTCACTCTGTTCTAAAACAGGCTTCAGCAAAACTACAAGTTCCAAGATGGCATCTGTCTGCCACGCTGTACGCTGTACAACCACTACCGAGACTACATGCGACGAACCAATCGTGACCTAGAGCCGATTGGAGCTGCCGGCTTTGGAAAACTAGTTCGCAAGACCTTTCCTAACATCACCACCCGTCGTCTGGGCACTCGGGGCCAGTCAAAGTACCACTACTACGGCATAGCGGTTCGAGAAACGTCCATCTACTATCAGATTGAGAAGGAAAAGCTGCAGCAGGCAGAGGCCAACAAGTTGTACAGTGCGAACAATAAAGCCGAAGAGCTGGCCAAGTACATGGCCACAGACTACTACAGCGTCAATGGGTACCCCTACCGAACGCACTTCACTGCGTACCAGCAGTTTCCGGAGAACAACCACATCGCCACTGCCTACTCCAGCACTTTGGCCAGCAGCATCGCCAGCAGCTACCGAAATGAGCGAGGCGGTGAGGAGATTTAGTAAGTGCAAAGTTCACCTTCAGCTTCTGCTACCGCGAACCATTGAGGCCTGTTGACTAATCGTCTTTTCTCCCTTCTCTTCTGCAGCACTCAGGAGGTCACCAGTTCTCAGCAGTATTCACTGCCGTACAGCCTTCAGGCTCCACTGTCAGCCACCAACAAGTCGAGCACGGATAAACAGCTGCTGGGCAAAAAGCGCCGTCACGCCAAGATGATGAGCAATCTGCGCCAACGCAGTGCACTCGATCAAACGGAGGCAACCGACTACTCCATGGTCGCCTACAGCTCCAAGTATGCCCAGGAGTCTTTGGGCTACTCGAGCCATGCGGGTGAAAACGGCAAAGGCATCGACTACTCACGTTCAGCCCAGAACTTGATCCCCAAGAGCGAGCCAGTGGACGAATTCAGCCGACTCTTGTCGGCGAGCACACTCGGCTTCATGACGGCACCACCGAACGTCAACTACACCAACTTTCATCGCAACTTTCCCTCAGCTGCGGACTTTAAGTTTCTTCCTGAGGACGTGCCCGTCAATATGGTGTCCACTTTTCTGCTTATGTACAAGAGTCACTCACAGCGCATTCTCGACACCTTCCAGATGGCCAACATTGAAGAGCTGGAGCGCACTGTGACGCACTTTTGGAGTGAAATGCCGGAACATCTTCGTCAACTGTTCTCCAGTCCACTGCTCATCACACTGGTCGAATGCGTCGATTCACTTCTTTATCGGGTAAGTCCAAATCAATCGTTGTTTGATAGCATTGAATAGTAGCAGCCTAACATTCTTTTACTCGTAGGCTATTGAAGACATTCTCTCCGAATTGGGACAGTTCCCGGAGATGTCTTCAACATTCATCGCCGACATTGAGCACATTCTCATGAGCATGAACCAGTGGTTTCGATGGTCCATTCTCGGTGAGCACAGTCGAATGCGCTCAATAGTGGAGGCAGAGAATGAGGACAGCAAGTCAGGCATCAATCAGCTGTGCCTTCTGCTGAACACCAAGATGCGCATGTTTGATCAGTTTGCCTGTGCCGTTCGCAAGCAGCTGGAGTTCTTTAAGATATCCAAGGTATGTCTGCTCTGATCTTGATCTTCAGCGATTGGAGTGACACAGTTGAAACGAGTTGTGTTAATAATTGTCAATACATTGTTTCAGGAGTGCCGCCACCGAATCATGCAGCAGAAGCACGTCGTCCAGATGATCGAAGATCTGAACCTCATTGACGAAGGCTTGTCGCGAAGTCTTCTCGATGAGAATGGCTTCCTTCACTGTCAACAGGAGCGAATGCTCTTTCTCGGCAACACTGCCGCCACCGCTGCAGCAACAGTATCATCAGAGAATGGTAGCTCAAATGGAGCAGGCGTTGGGAACGGCGGACTACTGGAGCCGAACATTGAGCTGCTGGCACTCTTTAATCGCTCCTTTCGCCACCTGCTGACCGCTCTGCAGAAGAACATCGACTTTGACCAGATTCTCCGCTGGGCTCGCTCAGTGATGGAGATGTGCGTCATCTTGGTAAGTGACCCACTCTTTTTCATTGAATCCTTTTGTTCGCATCTTTTTGGGCCGAGTACTGCTCTCTCTCNTCTCTCTCTCTCTCTCTCTCTCTCTCTCTCTCTCTCTCTCTCTCTCTCTCTCTGCAACAGCTGTGCAAGTGTCAAAGTGCAAGTGTGCGCAGTGTGTGCACAGGCAGAGACCTGTCTCTTGAGTGTCTCTACCGGTCGCTAATTGCCCTCTAATTGCCCACACCTCTGCAGCTCTGTTGCTCTTTATCAGCAGCTTTGTTTGCCGCCACAAACACTCACAAGCACACACTCGCTCGCTTGCGCCAGTCTGCGGCAAGTTGTTTGTGCGTGAGTGCCGACAAAGCGGACACTGTGTTTGTCCACCCTGTAGACTTCCCTCCTCTTCCTCTGCCCTTCTTGAAGCAGAGGCACCGAAACACCGACAGTTAGGTATTTCTCGCTCTTTCTCACTTGTTGACAGCAGTTAGTAATAGAGCGATTAGCAGACCGACACACGCTTCGCTGTTTGTCTGTGGGCTCACTGGCCGCGGCGCCTTTGACTGATTACCATCGTTGTTGATAGGCTGGTTGCAATACTGGTTACAGAGGAAGGTGTTAGGCAATTAATAGATGCTCCAGTGCTGAGGGTGATTACAGTTGTTGAATTGTTTGCTCATCTTTCTTCTTTTATTGCAGCACAAAGAATCCTGCCTGACGATTCGATCTCAAACTCTGCTGAACACCTACAACTGCTACGTGCAGGGTGTCATGCGCGACATGACTGTCAATGGCGGTAAAAGTTGTGGTAAGTGAGCAAGCAGTTTCTTAAAACAAAATACCTCAACCTGTTTTTGCTTTCAGATTTGTGGAACTTGGTCTTTGTTTGCGTGAAGGAGTTCTTTCTCCTAGAAACGGGACGACACATTCGCTACGAAGAGCAGGCTCAACGCCGAGAGGCCTTGATGAGCACTAAAAATGCAGAGCTAATGATCATGCCAGTAGAAGAGGATTTCTCCAAGTGTTGCTCATCGATGGACGGTGTCCGAGGATCAACGATGCACAACGGAGGTCATAACGGGACGGAAATGGCTGAATCAAGTAACTGGTATCAAGCACCGCATAGTCTGAATCGTTTCAGCAGTTACCACCAATCGTCAGGAGGTATGAGCTTGCAGCCATTTGAAAATGTACAAGCACATCGCCAATCAGCGGCCCACGACTTCAATGCTCGCAAAGGCTCAGTTTCAAGTAATGGCTCAACAGGTGGCCAATATCGTGGCGAAGAGTGCGGACAAGCGTACTCGACTTTCTCCAGCGGTGGGCCATTTGAAAGCGGATATGGATCCTGGCAGCAGCAACAGCACTTGCCATCACAATCATTCCAGGCAGAGTCGGTCCACAACTCATTTGACTCCAGCTCTTCATCAGACGCTTCGCCTGGATCGTATCACGAGAACACCAACAATGAGCAGGTTCCACTTGCAGAGCAGTCTTTTTCGCAAACACAACTTACCCAGAACGGGAATGGGTTCCAGGCGAGCAGCACTGAGATCTACCCGCCGGTGTTGTACCAGTATCAAGAAGATAACATCGCTGAGCCAGGATTTGCCGACGGTGCATTTTCAGATACAAACAACAACAACAACAACAACAATAGCGTTGTGTCCCCAAATGGCAATGTTTACACTTGCTTACAGTAGAGTTGGCCAATCTGTCGACTTGATTTTGTATATAACGATAAGTTTATTAAAGATAAGTGTTATTTTTGGATCTTTGCATAAGATGGTCAATTTCAGAAACCGTCAAGTTCATACTATGAACTTTAAAGTTCTAAATTCTTTTTCCCGTCTTGTTCGGTCAATGACTCAACTCATTATCAACGCAAGCACGCAAGTAAGTTTTAAGCTCCTCCCAGTCTTATCGGCGGTGCTGCTCTCTCTCCCTCTCTGTCATCGTTTGGCACAAAATGCTTCAACCGCTGTCGCACGTTCAATCTTCGTTCAGCAGTCATTCGTAGTAGAACAAACCGCCAAAAAGAAACAAGATGTCTTTGGTTCCTTACAACTACAACGACAACGAGGCAAGGGATGATCAAAATCCGCCTGAATTTATTCCCCAGGATAACGAAGGGTCGGCCAACGATCCTCTCCTTCATGGCATCTTGCGTCCCTACCGCTCCAACTATCGCCGAAACTTCGAAAATAGCTTCCAACCCACCGGCCGTCCTGCCAACTTGCGCTACAACAGTCGCATCTTTTTAAAATACGGCCATAAAGGAGAATGGAAGAAAAACAATTACCAGCCGAAGAACTTCTCGTCGCCGCAGAACGGGCAAAACTTTCATGAGCCACAGAACGGTCGAAATTTTCAGCAGCCACCGAACTGCCCTGACTTTCAAGGTGTACCTCATGAAAACTTGCAAGAAAATGTACCTAATGAGAACGTTGAAGAAGTAGTTGCTCCTCAACAATTGGACATAGTGGATAACGGGAATCCACAGGTGTCAATACAAAATCAGCAAATGCAAAATCTTCAAATGGAGTTTTCGCAAATGCAGGCTCTGCCAATGCAGATGCAAGCTCCTCCGATGCAAATGCAGACTCCCCCGATGCAGATGCTGGTTCCGCCAATGCAAATGCAAGTTCCCCCAATGCAGATGCAGATTCCTCCAATGCAGATGCAGGTTTCTCCGCTGATTCCAATGCAAGCTCCAATACCGAACATTTCAGCTCCAATGCACACGCTTATGCTACCACCTCCGCCAATGCCTTATATGTTCAACTTTGGACCGCAACAGCAGCAGCAACAACAAGCATACTGGCCGCCTATGATTCCGCAAGGTCCTGTTTTTATGACACCCCAGAAAACACCTATGCAGCAGATTTCAGGATTTCGGTATTCTCCATCATCTCCAACAGTGCTCCCTGTGCAGACCAGTCGCGGCACTGTGCACTACTACGACTACAATCCTGTTTATCAGCCAGCATCTACTTGGCAGAATCAGCAGGCTATGGTTTCCAACGGGAGAATGATTGGCTACAACGGTCAACCTGGCGACGAAGTGGCTCAAAATGGTTCTTATGGCACCGATATCCCTCATGAGAATAACTACTATTCTCCTATTTATCGATACTAGGCCCTCCATTGTTCTGCAAGACAATGACACTTTCTGACCTACAAACTGTTACACTTTCGCACCCTTCTGTAAGAATGTTTCTGTCAAACATTCCATCACCCTTCTACTTTCCATTTTTCTCATCTAACTGTTTACACTTTATTTTACATTTTGAACTCTGTAGTCACCAATGATGGTTACTCAATAAGGCAGCCAACACTCATCTTCATTCTTTTGATAATTAAAGATTGATTCTTTTATTTGCAAATTATAAATGATACAGATGAAGAGACAAAAAGGTGACTGAAGTGATATCAGCAAGAGATGAGTGCACTGACTGCCATTGCGAACTTCTTCTAAACAAAGGTGTTCAGTGCCACCACCGCCTCCTCCTCATCGCTGAACTGGCCCTGATGGTGATACTCGTGCCGACCCGTGTCACCGTTCGCCTGCAGACTGGTCAGTGGAATAGAGGCTGATCGGACCGTCTTCTCGCACTTCTCTTCGCCGGCTGAGTCATGGCCATTGTTCGGCAAGGTGGTGGTGTCTGCCAGCAGGGCGGTGTGCGGGTAGGAGAACTGCCGACCCGGAGAGACTGCTCCAGTCAGCTTCTGCTGGTGGTGGAGGTGGTTGCTGCCATTGGTGGGCCCATTGACGTGTCCCTGCAGTTGGGTGGCCAGTGTCAGCTTGAAGCTGCTGTTTCGAGAGGCGGTGCTGAAGCGCTGGCTGAAGTAGTTTCGATTTCGACCGTGCGAATTTCGCGCCGAGCGATTGCGCTTGAAGAGGCAAAGCTGTTTCAGCTTGGAACGAAACTTTTTGCCAAAAATGCAGTAGATGACAAAGTTGATGGCCGAGTTGAAGCAGACGAGAACGTTCGAGAAGATGGTTATTGCCTCGAGCAGTGGGGTGCCCACGTCAAAATACGGCTCCATGCAGTTCACGAGAAACGCAGGTGCGTTACAAGCTATTGGAAATGAAAAGTAGCTGATAATAACTGAAAAGAGCTGTTTACCGTTTACTCACCAATGAAGATGGCGACAATGAAGACGAGCATGGAGGCTAGGTGAAGTTCACTCTGCCTAGCTCTGGTGAGCTCATTTCGATGTGCATTCGCGTGGCGAACGCTGGCGTAGATTTTGATGTTCAGCGCAAAGAGCAGACTGAGGGGGAGTACGTAGTTGAGACTGAGGTTGAGGCAGATGTAGTAGACGTGGTAGTAGATCTTATTGCGACGAAGCTCGCTCGGACGAATGCTGCCACCGGTGGTGTCCACTTCGGCGAAACGAGGCAGGTTGAAGAGAAAGGCCGCCAGGGAGAGAATGCACAGCGCCCAGATGGCACGAGATCGGGTGGACAGCGTCAGCGACATCAGCGGGTGGCACACGGCCAGGTACCGCTCAATGGTGATCAGACAGGTCGTCCAGATGGAGCCAGTCTGGGAGATCAGTGCCAGTGGGTAGACCGCCTTCACGTAGTACAGCAGAGGGTACAGACTGCCGGGCGCCGGCTGAGGAGGGTACTGCTCACCCTCACCTTCTGGCCCTCTCGCCTCTTCATCAAAAGCACCCCCGTCACCCTTATCATTTCGACTGCTGCTGATGCTCTCATTTACGTCCACACTAAGGTAGTCCTCGCCAGTGAGTGAGTCCGCGTAGAAATGGTCCGCTCCGGGGAAAGCCGTCGAGCCCAATGACGTGGGAATGTGCGCTCTGTAGATTTCCTCGAGAGTGTTCAGCAGCAGCAGACTGACTGATGTCACCTCATCGACGTCTAGCTCTTCCGGCTGAGATCGATCTTTGGCGGGTGAGCGGGTTGCTGCCTCAACAGAGGGCATCGATTCACGGTGGTGCAGGTCATTGGAACGTTCTGCTAGACCAAGACTACTGTTGTTGTTGGACTGTTCAGGACGGTAGTACTTCAGCAAAGAACGACGGCATTCACGCAAATCAGCCACTGCCGAGTACTTCATCGAAGTGGTCTCTGTCGAGGTGGGCGCCTCTCTGGACACTTGAGACGTTAGAGGGGAATGATTGCTCAGTTTGGCATGCAAACTCATTCGCACCCAAATAATCAGCTGGCGAAAAAGAGCTTCAAAGAACAGCCGCTCCACTAGATCACGTGGAGTGACAGACTGGTCAACTGGTTGAGGCGATAAACTAGACGAGGAGGCGTTTAGCAGAATCATGCTCTGCCTTAACTTGTGCAGATCATCGCTGGTCAAGTTAAAACAGTTTTCGAGAAAGCTGGTGATTTGAAAGGTGAAGAGATCTCCTGAAGCGGTTATGGGTGCGTAGTTGTAGTCGCTTGCTTCAGAGCGACGTTTGGTCCGCTTAGAGCGGTGGTTGACACCGTTTGGAGCTGCAGAGGTGCTGCTGCTCTGATGTCGAATTGGATGGGTGAAGGAGGTAGAGGTAGCAAATGATGAAGGGGAGTCGTCAGTTGATGAACTGAACGACGCTGGCTGAATGTGAAAAGGAATAGAAGTCAAAACGGTGCTAGGTGTTACCGTAAGAATGCTTGGCGATTCAGTGCTCCACTCATAGGAAGTTGCTCTTTTTGTGGTCGTTCTCGCTGTGATGGTGGTCATGTTCATAATGCTTTCTTTTTGACTAGTACTACTTCTGGTTATTTTATCCGCCCTTTTATTTCCTTGACCAGTGTCAGGAGGTATTCGCGTGGAAGTGATGGCAAAGTGTTGCTGTGGGTAGAAGATGGACGATGTGGAGGAGTAGTAGGTCGAAACGGAGCCTGGAGGAAAGGAGTTGATCGGCGTTGTGAGGGTTAACTGTACAGAGCTGCTGTTTGAATTGCCCATTAGTGTGCTCATCTGCTGGTAGTCGGTGATGGCTGGCAAGTTGAGCATCAGAATGCTGAAGATGAGCACACCATTGTCGTAGAGTGCCAGCACTGTCAGGTATATGTTGATCGACTGCTTGCGCATATCTGCATGGGTGACAAAGAACGAAAAAGAAAGCAGACAAAACAATCAGTTTACATTTCCACGAAGAGCAATAATGATGAATGCGTCCTTGCGATGACTGATCGACTGATTGGCAAGGGTTGATCAGCAGAACAGTTGGTAATTGGTCGTTCAAGCAAAAGTTGCTTGACAAACAACAATGTTCTGAAAATAGACATTGTAGCGGTAGGAAGTGATCTTATGCATTTGGATGACATTGAAAGTAGTCCCGGCATTGAAGAGGGTGCACTAGAGCATGAACTGCTGTTCTAAGTTGAAACATTCTCTAGTGGCGTTCCGTGGGGATTAAGCGAGACCCTCAGTTTAGGTTCTTGTACCTTTTCTGTCATTAAAAACATTAAAGCGTGCACACAAACAACTTAAGTAGATATATATCCGATTCCAATCACAAACAGTCAAACAGTCAAAGGAGAGCGGTACCGCACCAAAACTTACTGAAGTAGCTAGAAAGTATCTAACTAATGTCAAAATTCGGCGAAAAATGCACTGTAACTAAACTAATATTGAACTTTCTCATTACACTCTCTACCCACTCCTGAGACCAAAAAAAGTGAAAAAAAACTTGAAAATGATAGAGTGAAAAAACATATCAAATGCCAATAGGTGAGTTATGAGCTTTACGTTGTGCGTATCATCGCCAACAAGTTTCGTGCTCTGTAGCGTGAACAATCACTCAAAACTGGTTACAACTTAGAAAGACAGTGGCGGCAGATTAAATCGACATTTGGACTTGCTGATTCAAGCGAAAAGTTGATTCTACTGACAAATACCAGTGGCCGAAAGAGATGCTGCGCAGCCAACGAAATTAATTGCGTGCTTGGAATTTTATAGCAAAGAATTTGCTTCTTTTGACGCACTTGCCATTAGCGAAAAGAAAGATGTCACACTTGGTTTAAATGAAATATATTTTTCATATGTTGTAACAATAACAAACAACCAGTAAATAACGCAAATTTGCAAGTTTAAATTCCTTGCTCATAAATTGGCTTCTAGTCTGACAATAAATTGCTTTCGAACCTTTAAGTTTGCTTGCATCCCTTTTGTTAAATAATATGCATGGCAACTAAGTAGAGTATTAACCTTTAAATTATGGTACAGCCCTTCAAATTAATGAACAAAAGAACTGATACTGTATCAGCGTTTTTGTTGTCTTTTAAATTAATTAACCCAAAACAAAAACTAAAAATATTTATTTTGTTTCAATAATAAAAGATTCTTTGTATATGCGTTAATAAGCTCACTTGTAGACTAAGCCTCTCATAAACTCTCATTTTTTTTGTTAAAGACAATATTATTAACAATGCCTGTTTGGTCTATACTAACAGTAACTCAATATTATTTTTTAGCTAAAAATCCAAATAAAAAAGCTCAATAAAAAATCAATTAAACGAAAGTTTTGATTTACTTTTTAAGCAAATTTTAATGAACAATGGTTGCAGCTTCTGTCAATATTTGCTTGCATTTGGTATTAAAAGCAAACAAGTCTACAATTAACATTATCCTGTCACAAAAGACAGTTTATGAATTTTCAAGAAAATCCTTATCCTGATGACTTGTCACTCATTAGATTCACAGGGCTGCTTTTAATGAGCTGTTAATTAGTTAATTATTTACGCAAAAACAGCCTTAATTTGAAGTGTCTGCGGTAGTGACTGATTTCAATTAATTATTGATTTAGAAAAAATTGCTTAACATTAGCCCAAAATTAACAATGAGAAGATGTTAGAAAGGATTCATTCACATGACTGTCCAACTGTGAAACTAAAAATAAAAAAATTGACTAGTAAATGGAAAAAAGTCTCAAGAATGTCACGTGAGTTGAAGCAGAAGCTGCACAATGGCAGTGATTTATTAATTTGCACTTTAGCCTTCAACTTGTTTAGCGTCATGAAAGTGGAATGATGGAACTGATGGCCCACTGGAGACACACCAACGCCTAAAAAAGAGGGAAATTCTGCTGATAAAATATCACAAACATTTTATGGATTATATAAAAACACATTTTGCTGTGGAATTAGGTAGAAAACATACAAAAATACAA